ATCACATTATAATGCCCCTATGGCTGAAATGATGAGCTTGTTTGGTGTGACGGGAATTTGAACCTGCAACCCTCAGAATGCGTGTCGAGTGCCCTAACTACTTGGCCATGCTGGGGCTACTTGCAGACAGAGCAGTAGGAAAGCAATTTTTATCCTCAATGCACAAGGCTCACATATGAAAGACTAAAATATATACAGAATTAAAGAAAACAAGGACAAATGTATGTTTCAGAAGCATTTCGTTTATTACAACCTGATGATGCTTTTACTGGCAAAACCACGGTCATGATAAATGAAATATTTGGGATACGTACAATTGTTCTTGTTCTCCCTAATTCCATAATCATGAAACTTCACTAAGTACTGATGTATATTTATAGACATTTCACAGATCAGCCACACTCGGAGCAGATATGGGTATAAAACAGATACATAGAAATAAATGTAAAATTAAAACAAATTACTACAATTGGGCCAATTCAGGTGACAAGTAGAATTTACATCCACAAATCTGCATACTAATTTTGTAATTTACATGCAATGTTGTTGTTGTTTTTTGGGCCTTGTGAAAAAAATTATTTCAAATATAATAAAAATATTGTGTTTTGCCACAAGCCATAACAGTATATTTACTCTTAAGCTGTTCATAGCCAGCCCTACAAAACTAATAACAACAAAAACATTAAATTTTGGGGTGAAATCTCTCTAAACAATAGTTTTAACATACAATACACATATTTCCTGTGGAACAATGTAAAAAAAAAAGGTTATGAGAAAATGTTTTTCAAATATAACCATAGCAAAGTTGACCCAGTTATCTTAATGTGTTTTGTGTGTATATAGGTGAGGGGGGTACGTTAGGTGATTTTAATAATACATATTACAGTGCATTAACTCTTTCAGAACGGGCACCATTTAGTCTGTACGTCAGGTGGTTTAACAAGTTACATCCAAAATTAAACTATTTTCTTATCATAGTACAAGTAAACAATGTAGCTAATAATCTAGATTTAATATTATGAATGGTAAATTCTTAGTTCTCTGAAGCAATATTAAAAAAATCCTCAATTCCCCTGGTGTGAGAATTGTGATATCCCTTCTTCTCTAAATTACTCAATATTATGAATGGTAAATTCTTAGTTCTCTGAAGCAATATTAAAAAAATCCTCAATTCCCCTGGTGTGAGAATTGTGATATCCCTTCTTCTCTAAATTACTCAATATAATGGCTCTGGTAAAGCAATTTTCATAGTCTTCAATCTTAACTGGTTCCAGAGTCATAAAACAGAAAATCAGACCGCACTTGCCACACCCACCTGTCACATTCTCTCAAACTACCAATAGTTTTCTCTCACATTTAATACTATTACTTATAAATAATAGAAAGGCCAAGGTTTTAATCTATCAAATGATATATTGTATTACCATGTTTTCTGTACATACACTTGTCTATTTCTCACTTCCAATTCAAACGTTTTTCACATGGAAAACATATCAATGAGATTAGCTGATTTTTTAATGGATCTTGTCACACAGTTAGAAACCCAGAAAATTTGTAATAGTTATGGAACATTATCTGCTTTTTGCACATTATTATTCTGTGTTCTTAGATGCATTATTTAATCAAATAAAAATTATTTAATGCAGTAGTACCATTAATATAAAAAAGTAGGGTTAAGTGTCTTTGACTTCAACAGTAAAAAAAGAAACCCCCCAGGTAAGTATTTCTTGCTTTTTATGTTTATTCTTTATTTATTATTATAAAAGCAACAAATATAAAAATGAGAAACTTTTTACGTTAGTTAAGGTTAAATTAGATAAAACAAATACTAATATAATAAAATTTTTCATAGGGTATGCTCACAAGTAGCTCACGTGTAATGTAATTCGATAACATAACAGCTGCACATTCACCAAGTGATATACAACTTCTTGCAATGCCAGGAATATTAGTTAGACACATTTCAAAGGGCAATAAAACAATAAAATTTAACTATAAATAGATGTATACTGTTACTAGTTTGAAGTTATTCAGGACAAACAAATGTAGTTTCATGTTACAATTTGAAGTTATTCAGGACAAACAAATGTAGTTTCATGTTACAATTTGAAGTTATTCAGGACAAACAAATGTAGTTTCATGTTACAATATGAAGTTATTCAGGATAAACAAATGTAGTTTCATGTTACAATATGAAGTTATTCAGGATAAACAAATGTAGTTTCAT